CGGCCCCGCCCGGGGCACCCAGCCGACAAGCCCCACTTCCGCTTCCGGCTCGCCGCTCTGGAAAGCCCCGCCCTTCTCCAGTAGCACCGCCCCCGCGAGGCGCACGGCAGGGGAGCGATCGAGGAGCGCATGCGCAAGAGCCCGGTGCATGGTGGGTAACGGCCGATGGTCCCTTTCATCTTTTCCATTCCCCCGCGGAATAAATGTTGTTACGTGCACCGAGGCAGGCGCGGATGTGCACCACCCGGGGAAACAGGCACAGCGACGGGGGCCGCGGTACACTGTGGGTGAGGCAGGCCGGCCCGCCCGCCCGCTGCATTGTGGGTAAAGAGGGGCACCCTTCGCACTGCATTGTGGGTAATGGTGGGCTACCTGCCTGCTGCATTGTGGGTAAAGGTGGGTGCCCCGTGCACTGCATTGTGGGTAACAGCAGGCCAGCCCCACTGCTGCATTGTGGGTAACGGTGGTAAAAGATGCTTTTAGCCAAAGCGGCCACGTGGGCAGGCCTGTGGCACCTTGGAGCCAAGGGAAGCGCGCACCACAGCACCAGCCACAGGGTTACCATATTTGAACTTTCAAAAAAGAGGACACGCCTGAGAGGGGGTGTATCTGTATCAGTATCTACCAACTCATCTTGTATTAATAGAACACAGTACAACGTGAATTGGTAGGTACTGATACAGATACACTTCCTCTCAGGCATGTCCTCTTTTTTGAAAGTTCAAATACGGGTAACCCTACACAACCACCTCCTCACATGAGGAGCTAACAGTTACCAAAAGCATCAGAGGGGTAGCCAAGTTAGTCTGTAGCTGGAAAAACTTTTAGCACCTTAAAAGACTGTAGCAGCACCTTAAAGACTAACAAAACACGTAGATGGGACCATGAGCTTGCACATAATGGCCAGTGCATAATGGCTACTTGCATGTGAAACAAAGATAGGTCATTTGATCATATGACCTGCTCCAGTTTGGGAGACACCAGAGATATAAAAGTGCCATGAGGCTGTCTCCGGTTTGTCTTCAATCTTGCTACTGATCCCAGATGCAGCTTTGCGAGGGACAGAGCTGGGAAGGATTGCTGACCCATCCTGATACAGGATGTATAACAGAGACTTCTAAGTTAGCAGTTTGTAACATCTCTGCTGAGAACCTGCACCAAGAATTTGGTAATTGATAACAATCTTTCTCTCTACCTTTTCTTTCTTTTATTAATAAATAAATTAGATGCTAAAACATTGGCCCAGCATGCTCTTGTGGGTAAAATCTAAAGAGTAAATTGAGCGGGGACTGTGGCTGGTTCTTTGGGATCAGGAGGATCTGTTTGGAGTTGGTGAGATTGGGTTTTACAACCTCTCACCTGTGCGTAAGGCCCAGGGTTGATTGTGGCACAGGGAGAACTGAGGTGTCTGAGGGGTTTTGCTGGTGAGGCTTCCTGCTGGCCAGATTGGCAGCTGAAGCGCTCTGTGTGACTGGTTTGTGGCCTATTTTGGGAAAGGTCTCCAGTCAAGGGCTCTAAGCAGCCCTGGTTTTGAGTAATTCGCCCTGAGCTGATGCCCTCAGCGGTGCCCAGACTGGTCCATCACAGCAGGTTAAAGTGTTCTCCAACAGGTTTCTGTGTGTTGCTTTTTCGGATATCTGATCTGTGTCCATTAATTCTTTCCCATAGAGACTGTCCAGTTTGGCCAATATACATTGCAGTGGGGCATTGTTGGCATTTGATGGCATAGATCACATTAGTGGATGTGCAGCTAAATGAGCCCCTGATGTAGTGGCAACAGTTACCAGGTATTTTAGAACAGGGGAAAACAGCACCCGCTAGCAGTAGGGCCAGTGGTAAGGAGGCTAATTAAGTGGCTGTGAAAATGCAGCATTAAAGATCTTACACTGCATTTTCCCATCAAAAGCTAAGTATATGAGACACTTCCAGCCCACTTACTTAGTGAAGGCAAGGGACACAAAGGAATTTCTAAATCCATCACCCTTTATTCACAGATAAAGCACAAGAGATCAACAAAGCTTTGGAAATTAACAAAAATCTACATGCAGATTTTTTTTCCTGGCATTCATACCACTCTCAGAGCCATTTGGGTTTTGATCATGCTTTTCAGGGTCCCAAGACCCTTCTTTTCTTTGCTTCCCTACATGCCATCCCTCTACAACCCTGCCTTCTGGCCCTGATATTCTCTCTGAATTTGCTGATGGGAAAGGCTTCCTTTTTTAAAAGTCCCAGTGCCACTCCCCTCTTGTGACTCTCCTTAGTGGCTTCAATCCTTTGTCAGCGGATATATTACTTTGTTGCAAATCCATCTGGGAAGTAGATTGCTAAAGGTCTTATGGTGCTTTCATTTGATGGGAAAACCACTAGGTTAACGAGTCTTGATTGCTCCATGAGCTCACACTCCTGGGAATCCCAATCAAAGACAACAGTGAAGGTACGGTACAGTTTGCACTCAAAATAGCCTCCACCAATGGGTGTTTGTCATTGGATTGAGACATGTACGGAGTTAACTAAGCTGTTGCATTGGGGGGTAATCCCTGCAGACTGGGGAGGGATTTGAACCGCAGTGTATTTGTGACATTTGGGGAAAGCCTCCTGCGCTAGGGCACATTTAACTCCACCCAGCAGCTCCACGGTGTGTAGTGACATCCCAGGTCACATCACGTAAGACAGAATGAACTGTGCTCTGGCTCTGAAAGGATGAAGGGTGCTAAGGTTGAGTAGTGGGACTGGGAGATTCCTCAGGGCTATATAAGGACATGCATACATGGGCTGGGATTCACTGTGTTAAGGGGAGCAGTTGGATTGGGGAGAGAGAACAGGATTGTTGAAGGAGCAGCTGACACCGTAAGACAATTCTGTCATGCCTGATTGGATTCTCGTTTCATCCTCTCTAATTCTGCACAGCTGGGGGTGGGGGTGGGGGTAGGATATTTCTCTCTGTGCCCACTGCTTTGGCATGACCCTCAGCCTGGGATACAGGCATCAGTCATGACAGTGCCCCATCCAGGAGTATGGGCAGGGAACAGGCAGCAGGGAAAGGTGGAACCCATCCGTGGGGATGGGTCTGAATTCCCCAGAGAGTGGGGGAGGGAAGCTGGTTTGGTTCCTGCTCATCTCTGCTCTTAAGGGACAGATCCTACTTCCCAGTCCTGAGGATCAAACTAGCTATAAGCCCTCCCTGGCTCAGAGAGGTCTGATGCTCCAAGCGATGGGCAGGACGGGGGCTCTGTGTGGAGCTCTATAGCTGTGAGGGCTCTGGGCTGGGCGCTCGTGCACGTTGAATCATGGTGGGCGTGGGCAGCACAATGGGCAGCGTGTTGGTGCCCCGTTCGTGCCAGCACAGGTCTAGGATGGGATAGAGCTTGCCCTGGAACTCCGCCTGGAAGGTATAGATGGGGACCAGCTCGTCGGGGCTGTCGGCGTTGTAGAAGGTCAGCTCCCCCTTCTCGTAGTGCAGGTAGACGCCAATGCGCTGGGGCCGGGCCGTGAGCGGCAGCATGGTGCGGGGGTTGTTGAAGGCCTCGTAGATCTTCCCTTCCTTCAGGCCGATGAGCCAGACGCCGTGCTCGGGAGACTTGTTCAGCTTGCCTTTGCGGCTCGCTGTGCCCTTGATTATGCCCAGGCGCCAGTGGCTTTTGGTGCCTACGATCACCTCCCAGTAGTGCTTGCCCCAAGAGAAGCCCTTGCTGGCAAGGATGCAGTTGTTGGAATCAAAGCGCTCGTGGTTGCTGCCCCGACGCTGGGCAAGGGACCTGCTCTGCACCACAGTGTTGTCCTTGGTCAGCTCCAGCAGCGGGTGTCCTGTCACCGGGTCCAGCGTCAGGCTCTCTGGGGCTAAGGAAACACACGCCAGTGACAACTACAAGACGGGAGACCCAAGCTGCTGGGCTGCTCTGTAGGTTGGACCAGGAGCAGGAGAGCCCCAAGCCACTTAGTGGGCCAGATCCACGGACAGCACCCTTGTGGGAGCGCTGGCACAGCCAGGAGAGCAACCCATGTAAAGTTCAGCTGGCTTATGTCCGAGCAGCCCCACGTGTGTCTGACAGAGGGAGCGCGGGCCTTGGCCACAGCCCTGAGCATGCTGCAGGGGGTGCACTATGAGCTGGGCAGTACCTGGCAGGACTCTGCGGAGCAAACGTTTCCAGACAGTCATCTTGATGTCATCTTGGTGGAAACCTGGCTTGAAGGAGATGGCGCTGAAGGTCCCTTCAGCTGGGTGCTGGGGAGGGAACTCTGACCTGGAGGGAAAGACATTCCCATGCAGAGAGAATTGCCTCTCTCCCTGTTGCCTGCATCTGGCAGAACTAGGGATGTTAAGCAGTGATTCATTTGCTAGTCGAGTAGTCAATAGAATTTCCATCGACTAGTCGTTAAGGAAGGGCACTTAAAGTGCCCACTTCCAGCTCACACTGGGTCTCAGCACAACTCCCGGCTCCTGCTCTGCACTCTTAGAGGGACAGAGTGGAGCTGGTGTGCTAAGATGCTGACTCAGTCTCTTGTCCCCCGCCCAAGAGACTACAGTGGTGTGTCCCTTTCAGAATGCAGAGTGGCAGCAGGGTGCTGCCCTGAGACCCGGCAGGGGACCAGAGATGGAGTCAGCGTATTTGCACGCCGGCTCCTTGCTGTCCCTTTAAGAGTGCAAAGTGACGGGGGGAGTGATCAAGTAGTCGACAGTGCTACCTGATGAGCTCCTGCTCATTCACATCCCTAAGCAGGACCCAGAGTCAGCATCTGGGAGCCAGCAGTGGGTGCTGGGCACAGGGAGGGAGTACGGACACTCCGCTGCTCTCCTGTGGAAGAGTGGAACCCATGGGAGCAGAAGGCCTGGGGCCTCACAGCCAGGCTGTCCCAGCCATACTGGCGACACTGCGCACCACTGACGTTGAAGGGGCGCACACTGCAGCTGGACAGGCACAGCCCTGGCTCACCACTAGAGCTGGAGTCAAACCCTCCATGCCTGCGCTACCCCCATGAAAGGGCCCTCCTGTAACCACTCCTAGGACTGGTTTCCCCTTCGTGGGCTCTGGCTGTCCAGTGGCTCCAAGATGGCTTCCCAGGGCAGAGGGTAAGATGCTCACCTGGAGGGGAAGGAGCCGTATTTCTGTAAAACACAACACACAAAGGCAGAGTTAGCACTGACCGCCTCAGCCCCAGGGTAAGGGGCATGCTGTCAAGGACCCCCGGCCAGCCGTCTCCATCTGACCCTGCCTTTCGCTGCTGCCCCCACTTCTCTGCCCACGCGGGGAGGTCAATGGAAGCTGCTCAGCCTTGAGCCTCTGGCAACCGGGATGGGGCTGAGGAGCACAGAGGCAGGAGAAATCAGCTGCCCGGTGGAGGGGGCTGGAGAAGGTGTGAGAGAACAGTAGTTTGTCTGGGCTACTCCTGCACAGCCATGGTGCCCGTCTCTTGGCTCTCCTTGGAAGGCTGCATGCAGGTACCTGGCGCTCCTTTCCTGCTGGCTGCTTTCTGGTGGGTGCACCTCGATGTTTCCTAGGGAGAGGGCTGCATTGTGGGGCATAGGACAGTCACCTCTCCAGGGTGCCCAGGGCTGTTCCCGGTAGCCTGACTCACCCTGATGAAGTCCAGCTGACTCTCATTGTTTAGTTTCTCCAGCGAGCTCTCCATCTCCTGCAGCTTGTGCAGGGCGTCCGACGTCTGTGTGACCTGGGACTCGATGGAGGTGATGAGGTGGCCAGCCCTCCTCTCGATGCTTTCCAGGAAGCTGGCCTTCTCCTCATCGATGTAGTGGTGCAACTCCTGGAACTCCTTCCGGATCACCCATTTGAAGACGTCTGACTCATTCTGTAGGGGGATGGCACGTTCTAGGAGCCACAGGAAGATACCCAGGCAAGGCCTGGGGTGGGCCTGCCTGCTCCCTGCCCAGCGCAACTCAGTCAGTCCATCGACTTACAGGGTGTTATGCCTGGACCAGACCCCCTGCCTTCTACAGCAGGCCCACGCCCTTCAGAATAACCCACAGTGCTCCCCCTGGCACATGGGAGATCCAGGCGAGGCTGCTGGCTATTCTGCGTCACTGGTTCTTGATTTGTGACGTTTGGAAGGCCGTTGGTTTTGAAGCCAAATGCACAAACCTCCATGTATGTTTGCAAAATAGAGCTCTTGTTGTGTGGGCACTCCTACTGCCTGAAACTGATTTCCCCTGGCAGGCAAACCTCCCCTGCAGCTATCGATATTGATCTTCTTGGAAAGCCAGCTCAGGTCGGGATAGTTTACTCTGGTTATCTGACTTTCAAGGACACTGGGTCAAACCAGCTCTGAACAATGAATTTCACAACCAGCCCACAAGAGGTAGCACCTCCCCCCTTGCAAAGCAGGGCTATTTCTAGTCTACACTATGAAGAACAAACCCATTCCCCTGCCAGCAGCAGGGAGCCCTGGCGAGCCAGGTACTTTTTCACCTGCTTGTTACACAGCAGGCAGAGGTCAGG